ACATGGGACTGTACAAAATGATTTGGAATTTAATAAGAATTAATATAGGCCTACCCTTTTCCCTAACAAAATTTCAAAGTCCTATATAACTTTAACAAAAAATATCGTAGACGCTTGTGACTGTACAAAATGGTTTGGAATTTAATAAGGAATTAATATATAGGTACAACTCAAAATCAAAAATTCCCCACATGAGGTCCTATCACATCACATAAATAATGACAGGCGCCTACTGGTTATTATTAAACAGCAAGAAATAAGTAAGGGGATAAAGTTGTACCACAAATAGTTAGGCCTATTTGAATTTTGAATATTTATTAAATGCTACAGCTGTGCGACTGTCATTAAATGTTATGTTTTGTGGGACAGATTTAAAATGTTCGCTTTAGCTATCAAAGTTATCAGAAAAGAAGTAACATAGTTAATTAAATAAAATTATTAATTTGAAGAATAATCGTTTCTCATTTAAAGTTATCAGAAAAGAAGTAACATAGTTAATTAAATAAAATTATTAATTTTTGAAGAATAATAGTTTCTCATTCTTAACTCTGCGAGGATTTTGGTCTAATTTTTTATCTTTTTACGACAGCTGGTTAGAACCAGAGTCAGTGCCCCTAATTCTTTACGATTGCTAACAATGGTGCAGGTTTATTATACCCTTTATTATCACTTCCTAAACTTTTTTTTAGTAACATGTAATATATTTTATTTTAAATTTCAACGGACAGCTCCATTTTGATATTGATACAAACTTTGGATCAAGACTTACTTACCACTAGTGCTACAATGGTTGATAGTAGGATTAGTAGTGAAAAAATTAGTTGATAAACAAAACAACAATAATAAAATAAAGGCAACGAGATGTCAAACATGAGAGGTGCAAGAAGTAGCATAATGAGTGAAAAACAATACAACAAAACATTCAACAAACAGTAAGAGGGAGGAACATTTGATCATGAATCATAAAATTCCTAACATTGGATCGAGACCATAGCCAATTACACTCTAAGCAAGTTACACAAAATTAAACCCTAACCATGCATCTAAAAAATCCAAAGTAAAATGTGTTACAAGTTTAGGCTGTAACTAGCGACAATTAACGAATAAAATTCAGTTAAGAGCCATTAAAAAGTAGCCAATAGGCCTATACTTTGTTGCCAATAAACAATAAAACAAACATAAAAAGGAAGAGAATCATTTTCATGAGGTAAAATGAGCCAATGACCTTCTGATAGGATTTATCAGCTGCTGCCTGTAGGTCATTATTCCACCTTGGGTAGTAACAGGGTCAGTGACCTCGGGACTTTAGGATTGTTGTAAACAATAGCATCAGATCTATCTCTTTCATCCCGTTAAAAAGTCATTATGGCTACTATAATGTTTGGAATACATTGTGTACGAAGGTATTAACTTAGGCCTATTGTATTTAGATTTAAATAGTAATATTTTTAAGAAATTACTGAGTAAAAATATTTTTTTGGAAAACGGAGCATTGCCAGAGGTTAAAGCTTAAAAATTAGGTAGAAAGATGTATTGTAAGATCTAAACTCTATTAAATTCATGGCACTAAGCGGGTACTGGGTCTGGTACTGTTATTGCCTACAGAATAAGTACCGGTACCAATAACGTAAGATCAGTACGGTATAGTAGAACCTCACCAACTCAACACCCGGTAACTTGACAGTCTGTTTACAGGGTGCACGCAAAAATAATCAATTTTTCCAAAACATTTAGTTTTAATTAAAATTCAACATTTAACATTTTTAAGATTATTTACTACATATGTGAAAATACTCATGTAGGCCTAAGTACGGTAATAAATTTATAGGCTATGTAAAAGTTAGTCTGTTATGAATTTATTAATTTACCTAAACCAATTAAAATAAAAATTTGAATGATCTGAATAACTTGACAAGCCCCAAACTCGACAACCTTTGAGTCCACAAATAATCGAGTTTAAGTAAGGTTCTACTGTACCGGTAATGTTGCTTAAGAGTTAATGAACGAAATATAAGATATAACTAGTGAGCCTGTTGCTTGAAATTGAGCAATTTTCAAGTACCGGTATTATACAAGGAGTTATCAAAAAATAACGGTCATCTTCTATGAGTGCTCAAAATCGAGCAATTGTCAAGTACCGTTATTATATAGGTGTTATTTAAAACTGCAGTAATAACAGTCATAATTTTCGATTTCGATAAGTTTAAAAGACTCAAAGCTCATGTAACTAATTGAAATACTCACTCTATTAATAACGGGTTGAAATAATAAACACTTGTAAAAATATTTTATCATTTTTTAGGCTAGAATCCGGCCTTATTTTTTAGTGTTTTATACAAATGTTTCCCGACTTATAGCTATATAGTAAACATTTCTTGCATGTATTCATTTGATATGACATTAGGTAGGGTTTCTTTAAACCACTGTGATAACATGATTTGTATATTCTTCATGATTTTTTTACTTGCAAAATAAGTTGCATAGCAGAACTGGTAAAAATTATTCATCCCTCCAAGTGATTGTGTATCTGGATTCCTTACTGTTAGACCAGGCCTCTCTTCTACTCTTCTCATACGTCTAAGATTAACTCTTAACCTCCTCCTGTTTTTAATATTTCTTCTTTAAACTCAAGAAATTTTCTGTTCTTCCAACAAACCTGATTTACTGTTTGGATTGGTCTATAACCTCCTGATTATTACAAACATTAATATTTACTCACAAGAAGCTGGTGAGTTTCTTTTTGTATACAGCTGTTTTTTGTTTTTAAATCTGTTCAATGTAGGCCTAATTCTTCTGGTAAAAACCCGACCTTTGAAAGGGTCTCACGCCCATAAGGGTAGGAACTTTAAATTCTAAAACCTTATTGCAAAACTACGAATTGGGTCGAATCTTTTGACACCTTAAACGTTGAAATTGGTCCACAAATAAGGGAGGAGTGGGGTTCACAAAAAACAGCCCTCACGTATCAATTAAATGATATAAGGCGGGAGTAGCTCAATCATCAACTTTTGCAGAGCATTTAATCACAAACAACCATAGCCATTCCAACATCAACGATAACATGACTGTTCTATATTTTAATAATAACAAGTTTTAGCTATGCACTAGCCATAGCCATAACGGTACTGTCACAACTGGCCTTCCGCGCGTCTCCCGCAAGCCACTGTTATCGCTTAAACTTTGAACCTTCTTATCGCTCGGCAACCTGTAATATGGCCTTGCGGGCCTTGAATTATATGTTTTTTGCTTTCTGAGAACCTCCTGATGACCGTAGTAAAGTATGAAAAAAATTGGGGTTGACCAAGTAATTGCTCAGAATTACCATTTAAAGGACCATAACAACACAACTAACAAATTTTAATCGAAACCGGCTTTTTTTCTAAAATCAGATTTTTTGTTATTATTCATGTTTTTCTTTTATAAAATAACATAAGTTATCATTTTTGCTCGAGTTATCGTGCTAACGGACACATCTATTATATTATTAAAGTGATACAATCAAATTTAATGTAGCCTAAACAGTTAACACGTTCGCTGCTACGGACGTTCCGGAACGTCAGCCGGGCCACGGCGCCAGGAGCTAAGAACGTTCCAGAACGTCACCGTTCATTGTTGTTTAACGTTGCTATGGATAAGCCAGCACGTCACAAGCGTTCTATATTTCTTTGCAGCTCGTGGGGACGTACTTTTCTGACAATAAAAAATATAGTTTCCCAAATCACCACCAGGGTTGTTTGGAACAGGGCTTTGTTTTACCTCTTTCCTGCTAGATAGCGACACTACTTTACCGACTGTAACCTGGGTAGTGCTGCTATCCATCAGAATCACTTAGTACTATATCAAATGCCAGTATTATTGCAGAACATTGCCATCCAGTATAACTACTGTTGTTTTTACTGTAATTCAGTGTATCGGTGGCAATGTCACGCAGCGGCCGAGCGTTAGTTCAGCAACTGGCGCCGTCCCGGCATCTAGCGCTCAGCAGCGAACGTGTTAAGGCCATTTACCAAATAAAAATATAGGCATATGGCATATCAAAATGAAGCTTATAACTTAGGCTAGAGTGTGTAGATTTGCCAAAAAGTATTGAATATGGACGAAGGGCTCTGCCCCACAGGCTGATTTCCAAAGGGCTACGCCTTGCATGTTTTGGAAGTTAATGTTATTCGATTAATTAAGTAAACAACAGCTGGCCAATTCAATTGACAACATAGTTTGTTTGTTTACATTTTTGTTTACTTATTTTATCACTTAGCCGGTACTTTTGTTCTTAAAAGGTGCGGTGAATGGACAGTGAAGCTATTTCTAGCTGTTTGATACAAGTGAGTGATTAAAGGTGTTGAAACACAATGAATATGAGATTGACAAACCATATATGTTGTTCGTTCCAAGAGGTTGTCACCGGTCTTAACAGGTCGCCATTTCATTGAAAAGTATTAAAGTAAAGTAATAAGGTATTAAAGACGTCGTGAAAGAGAGCGGCATGTTTAGGTTCAACCGTACCACCTCAGCCACCTTAGGACGTCTAGTGTATGAAGGTTCCACTGTTTTTAACATGCTTTCAGATGACAATTTCTCGAACTTGGACCTTTTAAATGAAATAGAGGCTAGAGTCAAAGTTGACCAAATAAATTTAATGGTGGCTTCTGTACACCAGTTAATTTGCGGGTAGAACCTCTTGTATATGTATATATAATAGGTATTATTGTGATTAGGGCTAGTAGGCTTACAGCCTAGCCTATCAACAAATCAGGGTCTAGGTAACTTACCAGGCCTAGAGGCTAAGATGTTCAATGTTGTCACAAATAACATTAACTGCCTAACTTAAGATAGTTAGTTTTTAGTTTAGACTAGGCCTAGTCCAGCCATCAGGGAGCATCCTACCAAGCCTATATAGTAGCAGGCCTATTTAATACTTATCCGGGCTAAAACCTAGTCAACCTTAAGTTTAAAATAAACTTTTAACAAGTAGCGTAGGGCCTAGGTAAACATTAACTTACCCTGCGATATGCAAACAAATCCCTTTGAAGTTTTTGACGCTCAGCTGAGGGCTGTTGCCCTTTATTTCTTATAAATTTGAACATTCCGCTAACCAATGTTAGAGGTTAGTCCATCAATATTTCAAGTACAATGTTTCTGTTGAACAAAGTATTGCACTTCACAAAATAATAAGATTAGAACACAGAACTCTCACACAACTTGATATCCAACACTTTCCACGGGGTGATACTGTTGTAAATGCGGTATAAATTGGGCGTGAATTATGTTTATGATGCACGAATTCCTGATCGCACCGAGGCGAATAAAAACAAAAGGATAAGCCTACGCCTGCTTGCTTACGTCAACCTCCTGGTTCTACCGTTCTCCGCATACAGAACAGACAAAACAGATGCTCACGACAGAAGGTTAGAATAGAAACTATAAAATCCTCTCAAAATGTTGGGAGCAAAGTAAATTTTGAGAATCATCTAAAAGTGCAAACGCAAAAATATTTTCTATTTTAGTCAAACATCCTGTCGTAAAGCCAGATAAATTAAAATAATTACAACAAAACTATTATCCTACAAATAAACAATGGTTTTAGTTTACCAGTAGTTTACCGGACTGGTTAGTGGTTGGCAACACTGTTCTGTCTTTTCTGTCCCCTTTTTCTGTACAGCTTTAGAAATAATTATACAGTATCACAAAACCTTGTACGATTGATCACGTCAGTGCCGGATTTAGGGTACTTGCGGCCCTAGGCCAAATTACTTGAGCGGCCCTCCCCTTGTGGTGAAAATTCCTTGCGATCGCGGAAGTAATAGTGACTATCTCCTATACATCAAGGGGACATCATCATCGACACCCGTGATCCTGGATGAAATCGTGGACATCTCTCCTAAACCAAGTCAAAGCCATCATAGTTATCCGGGACCGCAGTAAAATCGTGAACATCTCCCGCGGGCCGCAATCACGGGGACATCATAATTGAAACTTGCGATCGCGGCAAAGTCGTGTTAAAAAAACCTCTCCCGTCGACTGCGATCATGACGACTTCATCATTGTCACCCGCGGCCGTGCCGAAATCTTAAACATCCCGCTCGGGAAGCCATCACAGGAACGTCCTCATTGACACCCAGAGCCGCGGCGAAATCGTTAACAACTCCCGTGAACCGCGATCACAGGGACATCATCATCGACACTTGTGACCGCGGCGAAATCGTGAACATCTCCCGCACACGGGCCGCAATCACGGGGACATCATCATTGACAACTCGATACAGCATCTAATTCGTGAACGTTTCCTGCGGGCTGTGATCATAAAGAGACATCCCCGTCACCCACGGCCGCGGCTAAATCGTGAACGTCTCCCGCGGGCCGCAATCACGGGACATCATCACAGGCACCCGAGGCCGCGGCAAAATCGTGAACATCTCCCTCGGTCCACGGAGACATCATTATGGTCACCTGTGATCGCGGCAAACTGGTGGTTTAAAATAAATTATTTGTTATTAATTTTATCTAAAAAATGTTTTTCCCAATCCTCTGCGGCCCCCTTTTGCTTGCGGCCCTAGGCCGCGGCCTAATCGGCCTAGTGGTAAATCCGGCACTGGATCACGTATATATAAAACATAGAAAATACCGTTAAATATAAATGATTCTTTATTTGTAATGAGATATTTGTTGACTTATGATATGTTTGGTTATTTATGATTTATACAAATAAGAAACATGCTAATTAATTGTTAACAACACGTTAGCACTCTGCGACATGTATTAAAGCCTGGAGTCTATGCCTCAAACAGTTGTTGTATATTATACAAATTTTTTTGTAGTATAATTTATTAGTATAATACATTATTTATTTATTATAAACCATGCGTAGTACAGTAATATAATCAATCATGCATGATACGTTAATGTATTACCATCAGTAATAACCCCCCCCCTATACCATATTTATACAGCATTTTATATTAGTGTCATGATAAATGCTTTGAGGAGCTTTTACAAGGGATCAAACCAAATCCCTCCATGGTATTTTGGATAAAGAAATCTTGTATTTCAACCACATATCTGCCAGGCTGCCATTGGGAAAGTTGGGCCTTATTGTACATTTTCAAATCAATCCGTCCTGAAAGCTGTAAAAGGTCTAGTCACAGAGAAGTAAGAAACAGATGATCAATTCAATGGTAATAGTGGTGGTGTTTTGCGGTGGGGGGCAAAGTCCCGCACCGTCGTCCCCCTCACTTACATGTATTACTACAACTTGCTACAACGCTCGCGGTGAAGGAAGACCCCGTGAGCCGTGTCCTAAAGCGATAGGAATTTCCGCATAGTGCTAAACGCTCGGGCTTTTCATTGCTCGTGACAAAACAAATTTCCTCTCCAAAATACCAGAGCTGAAATCGCACGTTTGACACAAAAGCGTGCTACCTGTGTACCTTAATTACTTCAGTAATGCAGTCACTTATTTTAATCGGTATTGGAGCTAGCACACTATACTATCATAGAATAACAATTTATCTCAGAAGAAAATAAGGTGTTTGTACCTATACATACTTTATGCCATGTATGGCCTTTATTGCCCCCCCCCCTTGAGATGTTATTGATATATATATATATGTTAGTATGTTTAATCTATGGTCTAGGCCTCCATGGAACTGTTACTTTACTCCAACTTTACATTGGACATTTAGGCATTGTAACGATGAAGGTGTTAGCTAGAAGTTATTGTTACTGGAACATCCTAACATCCAGGTTGTAAATTCCAATAACCCCTGTAACATACCATTTTTGCCCGCCTTACCTATATAACCTATTGTTTCGGATATATGTGCCAGATTTAGTGCAGGTGCAATCACTATTAAGGAAAAGGATGATTTTTTTAAACTTCGCACCGTAGCCTCGGTTTATTTCTAGAGTGTACAAGCTGCTGACCAATTTTCTTTATAACAAGTTTTAATGTGAACTATAATTTAACAGCTGATTACATTCATTTCAATTTCGACCACTATCAAAATGGCAAACAAGAGGAAAAAAAACTGTTTATGAAAATGCTGAATAGAATAAATCGAAAATCCTATACTCTAATATGACTTGTGTAAGTTTTTTGTGGGTGGTTTTGTTTGTTTATAAAATTTATCTCTAAATCCAGAAGTAGGATCTTTCTAAAATTTGAGTTAGGGTCTTTTAGGCTTAAAAACTTGATTGGCAAAAGCCAATAGTTCAGGAAAACTTGTTTTTCACTATTCAACTCTTTTGAAAGCTAAGAAAATGTCATATTGGCCTTATTGGTTACCAAGGTAAGAAGGATTATGTTTACTTTTTCCTTCTTATTTTGTAAAACTTACTCCCGTAAGGCCAATGTCTAATTGTTTAAAACATAGACAAAGAAAGCAGCTTAAAATATTGTCAGATTTAGAGGGGTAATTACTTTACTGGGAAATAAATCACCAGTGTCACAACAGCATAATTTTCTGTGGCTAATTAATTAGGTCTTTGTTTTCGATAGAAACCCTGTTATTGAAGGATATTAATTGATGATTTGTTTAAAATATGAGTTAGGTTGGTTTGAATGCGACTATATTATATAAACTGTAAAAAAAGAAGACAGTATGACGTACCTTTTTCCTCATCATACATATCAAAATTGCACATTTTACATTCCTGATGGTAAATTTGATATAGCCTATTTCCTGTACTTAAAATAGTCAAAAATATCATTATAATGTAAACTGTAATGATATATTCATAATTAATTTGGAAGGGGACATTTTGCGAAAAAAAAATTAAACTAGGAGTTTTTTGTCACCATAAAGTGGCCCTTGGTACTTGTAATTTGGATTGCGTTTAAATTAAACACCCTGTATAATGTACCAAAAGTACACAATAATGTTTGGTAAAAATGTCTCATGTAAAGTTAATTCTCTCAGCTAGTGTTAAGAAGAGTTTTAATTTCAAAAGTGTTTCAGTTGTAGAATCAAGATTTTCCGTTCAATTTATTCTGGACGTTTCTCACAGTAAAACTTTCCTTGTATTAAAAGTGGGTCTTTTGTATGGATAATGTAGTTTTAAATAGCCTTCGTCTATCAGTGAATCTAAATTGATTTGTTTGTGTGTAAGCAGTTTACAAATGAGCTCATGTGTTAAACAAAACCAATAAGATATGGAGTTTCACAAACAAGTTTTGAGATTTTGTTTTCTTCTTTAGAGAAATAGAATGGAAAACCAACACCATTTCCATATTGTAATCCCGTGTCTAAGGAAATTTACGTTCCTCTGTTCATCTGTTTTGGAAGTTCCACTAAATCAGACCAGTTCTACATGATGTAAGTTATGGCTACAGTGCGCGTGAGGGACTTTATATTACATCATTTGTGGTTTAGGACCCAAATCAATATGTTTGTAGAATAGAAGTAAATATTAAAAGGGAAACCAAATCCTAATACGAGCAATGTCTGTTTGTTTGTCCGTCTGTAATAAAACCCAATAAGGATTTCTTCTATTGAAATAAGAAGTCAACAACTATAATGAATGAGATTAATATGGCCATAGACAAATAAAATAAAATAAAGACTGTCGGTGTCAAAGGGAGGTTCCGCAATGTGCCGCTTGAGCGTGCTTGGTGTTCGTTTCGCTGCCATCGTCGGCTCCTCGCCGTATGCTTCCAGCGACGCTGCAGCGGTTTGCGTCGTAACTACACGGCATTCCTAGCATGAGTAGCATGGACGCCAGAACATATGCTAACCGCAGCACTGCTGACGGTCTATATTTAAATCTTGTTGTCTATGATATGACCTCCATTATCAAATAGTCAAGTCAATGAAGTCATATGACGTTGATAAATCCTCTCTTAACTGACAGCCCAGCATTATGTTTGTAAATTTATAAACGTAGAGTGAAAGTAAGATACTATTCTCCTTTTCCGTTGTTTAGCATTGTTTAAATGGAGAAAAGTGGTCATACATTATGAAAACAACACGTTTCTCTGTTATTATTTATCCAATCTTAAACTTTTTTGTCTCTTGCAATTTTTTTGTAAAGTTAGACTAACAGTTTTCTTGAAATTTGGCATAAAATATTTGAAATGGCCGCCATTTTGAAACGGATAACGATTTTTTAGTATAATTTCTAACGATAATAGGTCTTTAAGGTTAACATTTTTGCAAAATATCAAAGCTGTATCTCAAACCGTTTAGGATTTATTAATGTTTATGTAAACAACACATAAATTCCGACAGTTGGTAAACTAGACACCACAGACCCATGTTCCTATGGTGAAATGTGTTTGTCTTGACCTAAGGAATAACGCTATATACAAGTGT